TTTCTCGCTCAGGTGGGAGGGCAGGGAGGCATCTGTACCTCATCTTCGCAAAGGAGACTCTCCAGGTGACGCCGAGCTGGGGTGTGAGGCTAGACAGGGCAGCAGGAGCCTGTGAGGAGACCCAGTTGCGCTTGTTGCTTACAAGTTCTGTGACGCTCCCTTCTAAAGGCGGAGTCTGATTCTCCTTTATGTGTGAGCTGAACTTGCTGACTTGCTTCTGAGCGACAGAGTAAAGTAGAAGAGACATCCTGTGTTTCCTAAAACAAGATCCTTAAAAAGACTGGGATTTCCTCCTTGTTCTCGCCGTGACTATTAGAGCAGGAAGCCAGCTACTATTCTGTGGATGCCATCCAGTGAGTGCATGTGTGTATAGAGGGAATGGGGGTTGGGAAAAATGGAAAGGCAGGCTTATTTCAAATAGAAGATCATAAGAACATGAAGAATGCTCAGTGCAAGCTGAGTAAAAGGGACTGTGGGACCTGATCCTGCTCTGGGGATCAGAAGAGACCCGGGGACTGAGATGTCAAAGCCAAGGACAGAATTGCAGGATTAGCAAAGGTAGGAAGAGAAAGGCGGCTCAAGCTGGTAGCTGGGTGCCCGGTCACAGTTGCCTTATGTAGCCTGGTCTGGTGTCATGGCTCTCTTCTTGGGGTCAGTGGGAACAATGAAAGGACCACATTAAGAAGTATATCCAGTTGGCGATGCAGGATATCCTGTTCACAATTTGGAGAAAGTGGGATGTGAAATGAAACAAAAAGGAAGGGTCAAGAGGTTTCTGTAAGAAAAAAAAAAAAACAATGGGTTTGAACCAAGGCATTAGCTGTCAGAATGGAGAGGAAACAAAAGAGAGAGAGAGAGAGAGAGAAACCTAGGAGACGAGGTGGGTAACTGAGTGAGAAAAAGATGGTAGAAAAAGCAAAGGAAGAAAGATGAGTGCTGGTCTAGGGCTTGGATACCCAGGTGGTTAGTAAAGAGGTCCACCAGGATGCAGAATATATTAACTGGTTCTTGATGCCTAAGGAGTCATCTCACCATTTAACACCTGCAAACAGCAAGCATTTATCTTCAGGCTTCTGTAGGTTGAAAATTCAAGAGTGGCTTAGCTAAGTGAATTAGTCTCATATTTTTTCTAATAAAACCCTAAAGCCTAAGATTATCAGTGACCATAGTCTAATTTTAACACTTTTTTTTAATTTCATTTGTTTGAAGGCAGAGGTAAGGTACTGAGACAGTGAGGGAGAGACGGAGAGAAAGATTATCCATCCACTGGATCACTCCCCAAACAGCTGCAGTAATTAAGGCTGAGCCAAGAGCCTGCAGCTCCATCCAGGTCTCCCAAGCGGATGGCAGATGCCCAAGAAGTGGACTATCATTTGCTACTCTCCCACGTGCATCAGCAGAGAGCTGGATCCGAAGTGAAGCAACTAGGACATGAACTTACACCCATATGAGATGCTGGTGTTGCAGACAACCATTCAACCATGTAAGCACAGTGCAAGCACCAGCTTTCATTACTTTATTTGCATTTCCTGCATCATGCAGATACTTGGCACACAACTAAATGTCTCCAATTTTTGTAGGTTTCCTTTTATTTTCTACTACACACATTACGCTTTCAGGAAAATAGTTCTTTTTCTTATTCCCTTTTCATTAAAGGGGCAGTTCTTTAATAAAGCCAAGAGCCATATTTAGAAGTTCAGATCTGGGCCGTCCTTCTGGCACTGGAGGTCAGTCAGTACTGCTGTGGGGGGCCCTAAGGCCTGTGGTTCCTGCAGAAGCCCTGTGGGGTTCCCTTTTTATCATCTTTCTCTACTAACATGTTGTTTCTAGGACATAGGATTTCCCCTGGTCTCTTTCAGGTTTAGAAATATATTACAGATAAACCCATTGAAACTTGCAAAGGTAAGGTGAGAATCTACTGAACACACCTGACTTATGGAATATCCTAGTTTAGCAACACAGCAACACACTGTAGAATACCAGTTGTTTTTGCCTTATGAGAGTAAAGCTATTTAATGGGGTTTTTTTGCCCTCTATTTATGTGACCATTTCTTTAGGTTAAAGTTTCCATATACACCAGTGATAAAAAAAAATTTTTGAAATAACTTACGTAAATGAATTCAAAGAAAAAAATCAGTAAGTTTAAAAGCTACAGATGGTTATGAAAAAAGTCATAAAGGTGAGATACTTCTGTTTTGTTTTCAAGACTTTTTATTTATTTGTATTTATTTATCCAAAAGGCTGATAGACATGGGGTTCATTTTCCATCTACTGAGTCATTGCCCAGATACCCACCATAACCAGGTCTGAGTTACACTGAAGCCAAGAGCCACAAACTTGAGCTGGGTCTCCAACATCGATGGCAAGAGTCTAAGTGCTTGGATGATTACCCATGGTTTTTCTCAGGCACATTAGCAGGGAGCTAGATCAGAAGTGGAACAGACAGAACTCCATGTGGCAGTGCAGTGTGAGACCAGCATCCTAAGTGATAGTTGGACATGCTGCACCACCACTACAATGGTCCCAAAATGACGCATTGATACTCAAGCTTGTGGCATTCACAAGCTTATGCATATTCACATACTTCTGAGCTTCACTCCCCATTTCACTACAATGTTCTATTGTGCTTTAGCAACCCGAACAAGAAGCTCTGCATGTCAGTTTGAGTGTAGGTGGGAACATGAGAAATGGGTTATTTAAATTAAGAATTAAAAGTTTGAGCATACCATGTGTCAAATATTCCCTTAGACACAATCAACGTTCAGCTGTGTGGAGTGCGTTAGATGGATGATGATGCTGTCGCGAGTTAGCACTATGTCTGGGGAAAATTTCTTTCTTGCTAACACTCCTAGTGAGCTTTACCCATAACCATCAAAGTAGGCAGAAGAGGCACGCTCCCTGCCTACCCCTCAACGCTTGCTTTTGGGTTCTCTGCCCAGAGAGTGCAAGTGCCACTTTTCAGAAGCCAAAGCAAGTCATGCCATTTCCAAGGGAGCTGGGAAGTGCAAGCTGAGCAAACGCCAGGAAGTGAGTGAACAGCAGGAGTATTACCACAGCTGCTGACCCCTCTAGGTCCAGACATGGGTGAAGATCCACGGTAGAATCAGACTGGTGGTGACAGGTTAACGTGCTGCTTATGACACTGCTGGTTCAAGTCCCGGCTGCGCCACTTCTGATCCTGCTCCCTATACACTTGTCTTTAATGATGAAGTTTGTGAAAAATAGAATTAAAAGATAAATGTATTGTGGCGTAAAAATTGAAATCCATGAGTTTTCTTTCATAAAATATATTTTCGAAAGCACATTTAAGGCCCCTCATATGCATGTTTTTTTAATGCACTAAAATAAACTTTATTCCACTGTCCATAAACTAGAGAAATGCATGGAGAACCATGGTTAGGTTTTTAGAAGTGTAGACTTGTCATAATTTTCTCTTGTGTATTCCTTTTATTTGTCATATTCAATAGGCCAATACAGAAGGTCCTGGGCTAGGCTCTGATTAGAAGCAAGAGATGGTAAATCTTTCTTTAAAGAATATATGTATTTATTTTTATTGGAAAAACAAATTTATAGACAGATCTTCCATCTGCTGCTTCACTCTACAAGTGGCCGCAAGGACCAGAGCTAAACTGCTCCAAAGCTAGTAGCCAGGAGCTTCTTGTGGGTCTCCCATGTATGTACAGGGTCCCAAGGCTTTGGGCCGACCTCTACTGCTTTCCCAGGTCACAAGCAGGGAGCTGGAAGGATAGAGGAGCAGCCAGGATACAAACTGGCACCCATATGAGATGTTGTTGCATGCAAGGTGAGGATTTAGGCACTGAGCTATCATGCTGTGCCTGCGGTGGTAAATTTTAGCCAGAACTGTGTTCCCAGCATTAGAATTTAAATTTTCAACAAAAAGTAGAAAGATAGCATTAATTTCTGCTCTCTCAGGATCGTCAGGCACTCTACTTAACTCTTTTTTCTACAACTCCGTGACGTAATGGTGTCTCCTTGCTTCAGAAAACACAACAGGAGGCCAGCAGGGGAGGCTGTCTGCCCAAGTCAATCTAGCTAACCAGAAGCCCCAAAAGTTCCAAGTTGTCCAAGGGAAGTGAGGTCAGCGTGCTTGAGTTTGTCTCTCCTCCAAAGCATACACATTACTTTTCTTTTTGGAAAAATCTATATTAATTGTTCTTTGAAGTATTATTCATTGATCACATGTCCTGTTGCTGGACTTTTTACTTGGTACGTGTTTACATTTGTAAGCTGGTGAAATTACTTTCTGTATGCCAGTGACAGTGGGGTGCTTGAAGTCCGTAATGTCAGTGTCAGCAGTCCTTCTTCGAAGTAAGTGTAAAAAAGCTTTATTCTCAGTCGTGGCCACTGAAGATGGCTTCACTACACATTTTTGTCTAGGGGCAAAGGCAACTTCCTTTGAAATTTCCCTAACTGATCAGTGTTGAATAAAACCTGAAGACTTAAAGCAAAAGGAGTGCATCACAGGGCAGACTAAAATCACATTTAGGAATTTCAGAAACTCCTGTTTCTATATAGGAGGGGTGAACAAGGGGATAGCAAGGGAACAGCAAATGTGTATTTGGGAGAATCAGTGGAGTGGAAAAACAAATGCAGCTTAAGGACAAAGTCTTACTGGCCCACGGAATACACAATGATTTGTAAAATGATTCTCTTGGGACCAAAAATAGAAAACAATAGCGTGTGTCAAAAGTGTGTCTGGCTGTGTTGACTGACTTCAATCTTCCTGTGATGAAGTTAAGCTTGTAAAAACTCCTTGGCATACGGACTGGATCAGATGGGAGGGTACCTGAAGGAAGCCTGTTTCTGCATTTGCCCCAAGTTTCTTTCATTTAAAATAATTGACATTCCAGGTGGTTGGGTGACAAAGGCTGCTGTTCTTCACTTGGCTTCATACACATCGCCCTGATCTCTCTGAATTCCCTTTTCATAGAAAATCGTATTCCACATGAGTTTTTCTTCTTTGCTTCGCTCTCTTTCAGACCGCTGCCGGAGGATGTAGGCATGGACAGCGTGCTTGAGGAGGAAATGCTGAGTCCCGACAGTGCAGACATGAGGCCGGGTGAGGAGAGCATGTATTTGTTTCCTGCAGCAGCATTCCACATCCAAACATTATTCAGTGGAAGGAACACTTCCTGTGCATCCAACCTGAGATTTCAGTTATAAAAGGCGAGAGCGAAGCAGAGGTGTCAGAGGGAGATGTTAGGCTCACTGGCTAATTTCAGAGCTCACTTGAATATTGATGCTCCCTGGTGCGATGGTGTGGAGCACATTTTGTCTGCTGGGCCACAACCTTATCTGGCAATGTTTTTATTCCTATGATAATTGGCTATATTCTATACCATGACCTTTACTAATGACCTAAATGACAAAATTTACTCATAATTACGAGAATGCTTGAAAGTGGAAACAATTTATTGAAAATGTTTACTATATTTTTTTGTTGTTGTTAGTCCACATGATTTGAATGAAACTTCCCAACCCTGAGCAGGATTCATCTAATTGTTCCTCTGATAGTTTTTCCTTATTCTTGAAATACCGTGAAATTCACCTTGAACCCATTTTTATTTTTACCAACAGACTAACTGAACCCTCATTATGTGCAATTCTGTTTGAATTACAGATGAACTTCAATTGTCTTGCATTCCCAGCACCCTAGTTCATTGATCAGCCTGAAATACTATCCAATGGTGTTGAAGTTTTTATAGAACTTGAGCTCTAACCTCTCACATTTGTACCAGAGATCAGCGGGTGGGATAGAAAGTTCCAGTCTGCTGGTCACTTCTCGTTTGGTTGACCAGCCGTACATAAGAAGCTATTTAGGAATTCCACTTCATGTTAATGCATGATCACAACCTCAGGTGTGATCCATGAGGGCTTGTCATGAACAGTAAACGGCATTCCTATCACTCAGCAAATTCCTAAGATTTAGGAGCTAGGGGCCTGATGCCAGAGACAGAGACTAAATGTGCTTCTCATTACATTCGGCAACGTGAGCCTGGTTATAAACTGCTCTTCTACTTCCATTAAAACCACAAAAACAGCCACATACACACACCACAGGGCAAGGGTGGGGGCACTGTTACTAACAGCATAAGGTCATTCTTACAGGAACTTATTTTAAGCAGTATTGGCGTAAGAGGTCATGCTTGGAGTGAGCAGTCGGCCTAGCAGCTAAGACACACACATCCCACATTGGCACGCCTGACTTCCACTCCAGGCTCCGACTCCTCAGTCCAGTTTCCAGCCAGATCCGGCGAGATGGCAGAGATGGTTCAAGAGATTGAATTCCGGGGTTAAGTTCTGGGCGCTCAGCTTCAGCCTCAGCCACAGCAGTCATCTGAAGAGTGAGACTGTGGGTGGAAGCTGTCTCTTTATCACTGGCATCTTCGGTCCTTCAAATAAACGAAGGGCTAGTGAGTGCTGTTACAGGTCCACAGAATGTAACCTTGGAAAATACTGCAGGGTTTGTTAGGAAAACAATTATGTTACAAACAAAAACAAACCTAGGCCATTCAAAGGAAGATCATATACAGAACTGTTAGGACATGACGAGAAGTATTCTGGGAGTATCTGAGAACACAAGAGATGCAATTCTTTCTTCTTTTTTCTTTTTACTATACAGTTCTACAGATTCAAGAATTTACCTTAACTGCCACCTCCCACAACTCCGTATCTCCACTGATTTCCCCTGTATTATCACAACTTTAAAAACTGTATAATCATTCAAAAATTTTCATCATTCTGCTGTTTAAGTGTATCCTGACCTTGTAGTTACAGACAGTGATAGAAAGTTAACCTCTACTCTACAAGAGCAGACATCACACGGACTATTAGCAAGTATATACGTAGGTTGGCTTGTTTTCTTAATACACTTCATAGAATACTAGAGCAATGTCAATTTTTCAAATCTAAGTATGGGGTGTTCAGAGACTAGTATGCTAGCGTTGCTTTCAATCTCCATCAACCAAAGCTGGCGGGTCTGAAAGAAGTCAGACCAGAGCCTGCTGTTCAGAAGGGAACCTTATGCTGTGCAAAGGTTTGTAAGAAGTCTGTCTCTCCTGGCAGGTAATGGTTCACATTTTGGCCCAAACTCTCCCTTGGTGGCTTAGGTTCTTACGCCTGATTTTACCTGATTGTTTCTTTCCTCTAGAACCTCCTAATTCTCTGGACCTTATCGGTTCTCATCCTCGGAGAGTCAAGCTCACGGCCCCAAATATCAACCTTTCTCTTGACCAAAGTGAAGGGTCCATTCTTTCTGATGATAACCTGGACAGTCCTGATGAAATTGATATCAACGTGGACGAACTTGATACTCCTGATGAAGCAGATTCCTTTGAGTACCCTGGCCACGGTAAGTTGCTAGGTTGCTCAGTTAAATAAGTGGAAGATGATTTGATTGGAAACCAGGAACAAGTCCCACCCCCTCCCCATTCTTGTGCTGGTGGCTCCTTCCTGCGGTTTCTAGATGCTTTTGCTTGAAGCAGGTGTGGGTCGCAGAAGTTGTACCTCAGGTTCACTATAGTTATCAAATCCCAACTTTCTGCCAGGCCTTATGCCAGGCTATCAGAATATGGGAAGGAAAGCAGTTGGATGCTGTTTGGGAAGAAAACTGGGGCTGGATTGGCAGAAGAAGAGAACGGAATCTGGAAGGTAAGATCTGGAGCAGAGAGGGCAAGGTTTACTAATTCCTCTGTAGGTACTCCCATGGTCTGAATGTTTCTTTCCCCAGCTCCTTAGCTGAGCAGTTCTCTCTCCTTCTGACTTTAGTCACCGCCACCTCCTCAGAGAGGCCCCCACGGATCTCTAGAATCAGACGTGTTTCACATATTTATTTGTTTTTATTGGAAAGGCAGATACACACAGAGAAGGAGAGACAGAGAGGAAGATCTTCCATCTGATGGTTCACTTCCTAAGCAACGACCAGAGCTGAGCTGATCTGAAGCCAGGAGCCCGGAACTCCTTCCGAGTCTCCCATGCAGGTGCAGGGTCCCAAGGTTTTGGGCCATCCTCAGCTGCTTTCCCGGGCCACAAGCAAGGAGCTGGATGGGAGGCAGGGCTGCCAGGATTAGAACCGGCACCCATATGGGATCCTAGCATTCAAGGCAAGGACTTTAGCCACTAGGCTATCGCACTGAACACATAATTTTCTAGACAGTGTGACTTTTCAGATATGAACAGGTGTTTGGTGTATGCTTGCCAGTTTACTATTTGGTTTTATCTTCAGATGCAGTTAGCTTTTTTGTACTACCAAAAATGCCTTTAGTCATATTATTTTGATCAGAATATGTGGTATACAATCTATTTGGGATGATTACATTTTTTTAATTGCATGGAGACAAAAAAAAAAGTATGTGTGTATCTAAAGTGTTTGCTTTAAAAAAAGGCTAGCAAGAGTCTGTTTTCTTCTCAAAGTAATAATATTTGGAGGTGAAAGCATTGGGAAGACATATTCTTTCTATTCACAATAAAAGCTCCTAGTCTTAAAAAGCAATGCTGCAATTAAACAAAATTCTGACTTTAGAGTCATGCTCATGCCAGCGGTTCCACTCACAGAACATAATGAGTAATTTCATTGGCTTCGCTAATTAATTCAGCCACAAGTCAGTGAGCCAGCAAGCAACAGCTGTGACCGCTGTACATTTAGACCATGCCTTCACAAAGCTTAGAGCTTCATTTCCTCAACTTAAAACAAAAAAGAAGCAGTAAATTATTTGTTCTACAATATTTTATACTTAAGTAGAATGCATATTTTATCTTTATCATCCATTTCATAAATTTCTATGCAGTTGTTCCTCAATAACTATTGGTGACTGGTTGCATGACTCCTGTAAATGCCAGAATTTAAGAATTATAAAATTTTATGATTATTTTTTTAAGGATTTACTTATTTTTCCTGGAAAGTCAAATTTACGGAGAGAAGGAGAGACGAAGGAGATCTTCTCTCTGCTGGTCCACCTGGCCAAAACGGCCAGAGCTGAACTGATCCAATGCCAGGAGCTTCTTGTGGGTCTCCCATGCAGGGTCCCTCGAGTGCTTTCCCAGGCCACAAGCAGGGAGCTTTGATCTGTGTTTGATTTGCTGAGTGCATATGGAAGCCGTGGACACGGAAGGCTGGCGTAATTATTAGGCTTTTGATCCTGTAGATTGAAACATACAAGTAGGAGGTAGAAGAAGGTCTTGAATTCAGTCTTTTCTGCCATTCTAACGATCTTCCCCAGTTACTGCCTCCCCTGCTACTGCTGCCCCCCCAAAAGTAGCCTTTTTCTGCTATTACAAGAGTTCTTGCAAAAACTTCGTGAAAAATGAGTCTTAAAAGTCGATTTTGGCACAGAAAAAGTTTGAAATCCATACATGGTTATTTTTTCATGAAATGTATTTTTCCTAAGCTTTTTGGAGGTCTCTTACAGGCACCAAAATAAACTTCCCTTTGAATCCTAGCTTCCACCAGCTTGTTTGCAGGTTTCTTGTATATTAATATAAAGTTCTTCAGAAGACACTTGTGGTATGACCTGCTGGTCCTGCCTTGCCACCCCTCCACTTCCCTGTTGCTGTGCAGAGCTTTGTCCACCACTTCTGAATCTTTTATTTTTATAAATAGTAAGGCTGTCAAGCAAAGGGGTGGCGACTGTGCAAGCTGGTAATTAAAGCAGACACAGTTCTTTTTATTTAGTTGACACAATTATGTAGACAGAGTTAGACACAGTCATGCTTTCAGGTCTTAAACAAAAAGAGCACAATTGTAACCTGAGTGGAATTTTAAAGTCCACTTGTATTTTCAGATGGGGGGGGGTATATATTCAGATACTGTTTCCATAAAATAAAAATTCATGTTGAAAACATGCTATACATCTGAACAGCTATATTCTGTAAAATGCAAACAGTAATCACAGAAGAGGGGTGAAATATGTGTCTATATATATATAAATAACTTTAACCTTGAAGTATGAAAACTACATGTTTTATGTTTTCTTCTGTGAGAGAGAAACAGACACAGAGAAAGGGTGTGCCATCGGATCTGCGGGTTCACTCTCCACATGGCCTAACGGCCAGAGTTGAACAAGGCCCGAGTCAGGAGCCAGAGGATTCTTTTGGATCTCCCATGTCAGTGGCAGCGACCCCAGCACTTTCCCCATGCTCTGCTGCTTTTCCTGGCGACCCCAGCAGAAGGACCTGCAGTCTTTAAGCTACAAGACCTAGGATAAACTGACTGGTTTATAGTCCATTGGACTACTGTTGATGTAAGACAGCCAGCCTTGCATTGAGCTTCATCTTCAGCACTTAGCAATGAACTTGGGTGTTCAGTCCATGAAACATACGTTGATGAGCTCTAGAGAAGCCACCCGAGACACGGAGTCACATTATGTTGGCTTGGCCAGGAGGGAGCTTGCGGTGTAGGCAATTGGTTGCCTCCATTGTGGAGGTCTTGTTCCCTTAGACCTGTTCTCTGCTTCATTTCCAGAAGATCCCACAGCCAACAAAGGTTCTGGCCAGGAGTCAGAGTCCATTCCAGAATACACAGCCGAGGAGGAGCGAGAGGACAACCGGCTGTGGCGGACGGTGGTGATTGGGGAACAGGAGCAGCGGATTGACATGAAGGTCATTGAGCCCTACCGGAGAGTCATTTCCCACGGAGGTAGTCAAACTCTGTGCAAACCTGGGTGCTGGGACAAGGGGAGACATTCTTAAAGAAAATGAAACATGACATCTTTAAGATATTGTGTTGCAGTCAACTCTGCAGCTACGTTTGTTACTGCACACTCAATTCAATAAGCATTGGAAAGCCTAAACAAAAACTTTTTCCGTGTCATAAATACTCTTCACATACTACCATCTTCTTATTTTTGCAAAAAGTATCTATTTTCTTGTTAATTTGAAAGGCATATTGACAAAAAAGACATGATTAGAAAGCGAGGCCTTCCATTTGCTTTCAGGGCTGGGCCAGGCCACAAGTAGGACACATGAACTGTGTGAGGGTCTCCCCTGAAGGTGACAGGGACTCAAGAATGTGAGCCACCATGTGTATCCTTCCCAGGCATTTTAGCAGAAAGTTGGGTTAGCAACAGAATACTCAGTGATCCAACCAGACATTCCAATTGGGAATGCAGGTATTCCAAATGGTGGCTTAACCTACCGTGCCACAACCCCATCCCCAGTTACCATCTTCTTCACAAATTTCTCAGAAGTGATAGTTGCCCAACTTCATACAGTATGTTTGCAATTCCTGTCAGTTGATTGTAGGGTTGGACTGAATGGTTCCGCATGCGACACCAGGATCACCATGACAGAGGAGCTTCTTATTATAAAGCAATCTTCGGAATCCTCCTCAGAAACCTTAGGAAATCTTTTTTGACTCTGCCTGGTAGTTTTTTCCCCCACCTGAAATGTACTTTTCTGTAAGCCACGTCAAATAGGGGCAGGATAAGAGCCCTTTGAGGTCCAAAGTTCTACCCATTTAAGTGAGGGATGAGGGACAGAGAAATGTGTATTTTGTATTTCAAATATTTTCTTAGGGACTTGGAGAGTCTATGTGGCCTTGATGAAGTTGGGTTTTACAGCAAGTCAGATGGGCACAAGCAACACATTTCACATGGTTGACTGCAGAAAGCTTCTATGGCTTTTTGACTTCTTGGCTGCATGCACTGCTTCTCTGAATCCTGAAGCATCACTGTGGCATCCAGCTGTTTCAGAGGCCATGTGAGCTGACATGCGGCTGTTGCTGTCTGCATTCTCTCTTCCTTAACGAGGACTGGGGAATGAGAGTCTTGGCTCCGCATCAAACTCTACTTTCTAACCAACAGAAGGACACTTTGTTATTCCAATCAAACATCTGTCCCCTTCAATCCCACACACTGCTACCTCCATATAAGTATGAAGAACCTCACCATGAGAAGGAATGCCAACAGGTGCCCTACCCTAATCTTTCTTTACTCTGCCTCACTGTCGGACCTGAAATGGTACCTTGACCCAGCCCTAGCTGCTGTGGAGCAATGGCAAAGAGAAAACTTTGCTCAACCCTTCAGATCCAAGGCTGGCCCGACTTGCTGAAGATGACAGACAACTGGCTTTACAATCTACCTTTCTGTGCTTAACCATGAAACCGACAACTGGAGCACAATCCAATTCTTACAATAGGGTCACTCTTGATTTACTTGCTTTTTGGAAATAAGGACAAAATTCAATAAACTAAACAAAGGCTGGCTGTGAGAGTAGCCTGAGCTCATTCTGAAAAGTGGAAAAAGTACAGAAGAGTCTGTCCACATAAATTGAAGCTGCCGGGCGATGATCCCAGTGTACATTTCAAACCTCTCTGTTCTAAAGGAGCAATCATGCTGTGAATGAGACAGGCTCACTGCTTTGCTGCTGTCCTAGGTTAAATTCTCTCTGAATACTTCAGTAGATGAGCTTAAGTGTTTTTGGAGTAACAGTGAAATCAAGCAGGTTGAGTAGATGGGTTCTGTGCATTAACCTGTTGCCCACGTCAGGAGGGAGTGAATACCATCAGTAGGCTGGTTCTGCTGCTGCCTGTCCCCGCTTATCAAAGCCTTCGCTGAGACTACAGGGCTAACCTGGTTTGCTGAGCTGTTCACCCTGGCACTTGCGCCTCTCTGTTCCATGTTGTTGTGTGCTCGCTTGTTGCCTGTGTGACTGGTTTGTTTTCAAGAGAAAGTCACCTCTCCTTCCCCCAGCCCTGCCTTGGCCTTCTCCAGGGTCTAACCTGCATGAATGTGTCTGCAGCTGCACCTCCTAGCAACATTAGCAAGATGCCATCCTTGCCCAACCCCTGGTTGCTGTTTGTGCTCTGTAGGTAAAGACCGTAGAGATGCTACTCCAGAACTTGGTCTTTGGTATTGGAAACCTACACTACTTTACTACACCTCAACACTGATAGAATCTTCTTCATGAGCCCCACCTACTGAGTTTCTTGTCCAGCTTCTGTAGAGCATTTTAAGAGCAGCACTTAACACTGATGTCCACGTGATTCGTAGTGCTTTGCATCTTGCTGTGAGGATGTTTTTCCATTCGGACTGGCTGGACAATGCTCTATGTAGTAAACTATAAGGTGAAATGATTAACAGTGTTGCAAAGCCAGTCCCAAAGCCAGGCCTGCCCCAGATCCATGCTAGTTAAGAATACTAGTGCACAAAAACAGTGTTTAAACAGTTGATTCTTCAGCCCCAGTGATCTTGGAATGAACTATGGCTAGAGCCCCTGAATCCAGTGCAGAAGAATGAGGGCCAAGGTCACGTTGGCCACTTAGTGGTCAGTTACCCTGGCATGTAGCTTACTTTCTCTGGATGTTCAGTGCACAACCAGGCAAAGGAGGGTAATTGCAACATCAGCATTCAAATCATGTAAGCCGTAAGCAGGGTCCCTAAAGGCACAAAACAAGGAAGGGGTGGGTGATTTTCAACCAACACTATGGGCTCCTTTGGATGTCAGAACTTGGAGCAAGAGAGTGCACGGGAACAAGGGAGAATCATCTCATCGTGCCAAAGAATTTTACCAAGGAGTTTCCTTTCTTCTTGTTGTTTTCTCTTATTTCATTCTAGGAGATTCAGGTAACCGTGTTGCTGGACAAACGATCCTGAAAGAATGAGGGGAAGAGTCGCAGGCTGGTGGTGTGTGTGTGTGCGTGTTTGGGTTGAGACTGTGACATCTTTCCTTCTTCCTTCATTCCATTTGCTGGCCAGCAAACCTGTGTCCCATCCTTTTCGTGCCTCTGTGTGCCACTGCAGGTAAGGTTTGCTCCAGAGGTCCCAGGAGGCTCCACAGTGGGACTGCTCTCACATTCCAGCACACACACACACACTGGTGACGTTTATGGAGCAAAGGCTCTGAAATTCAGTTCTCTTGAAAACCAAACATCCTGAGAGTTATGCTACTGCCAGCAAGAAATTGCACTTGCAGAAACCATGCATTTTTAAAAATTCTTTTTAAAAACATTTGTTTTAGTTTTTATTGGAAAGTCAGGTATACAGAGAGAAGAGGCAGAGGAAAATCTTCTGTCCATTGATTTGCTCTCCAAACAGCTGCAATGGCCAGAGCTGAGCTGATCCAAAGCCAAAAGTCAGGAGCTTCTTCTGGGTCTCCCACACAGTTGCTGGGTCCCAAACCTTTGAGACCACCTCTACTGCCTTCCCAGGCCACAAGCAGGGAGCTGGATGGATGCAGGACCAATGGGATACGAACCAGTGCCCATATGGAGTCACAGTGCATGCAAGGCGAGGACTTTAGCCACTAAGCTACTGCACTGAGCCTCAGTAACTTTTTTTTTTATGAAGACACATGCCTTACTCAGGCAGTGATCATAAAGCAGTAAGTTGGTTAAATAAATTCTGGTTAAGATAGCACTACAGCATGCCAAACACAGATAGCATTTCTATTTATGACCTGGATTGCCATTTAAGATGCTTTCGTAAATACTATGTATAAACTCCAATATTTCCTAAATTTTAAAACAATGTATTAGGAACTCTCCAGAGATAGAACCAGGAGGTTAAAGGAACTGAGCAGCCACAATAGTGACATTATTCGGACATTCTGGAGCCAGACAGCTGCATTTGGTGAAATGCCTGGGAGGGCATTCTCACTTGCTTTTCAGTTGCACTACTTGTGTCTCTTGTCTGTTTCAACTCATGTTGTCTTGCCTTTGTTCCGTGTGTTTATCGTATGCCATCCTAGTGTTAGGACTAGTGTAAATAACTCACCAGTGACAATGTGGATTTCTCTCATTGATCATCTGAAATGAAATTTTGTGGTGAAGTAAGCTTTTCTTGTGTTCATAGTTATGTTCTTCTGCCATTTCCCTTTATATTGCTTTCTAAAAAAAAAAAAAGTAGATAAATACCTACATGTTGGGAAAGATAGAAATAATGCAAGAAAAAAAAAGTCTGGGTGGAAGCTCCTGGGATGCTTTTCACAAACACATGTTGCATCGGGTGTATAGACTCTAGGTAGCCTCTTGTTAAATACATGAGTAGACATATTTTATGCAATATCCTTGAGTTTCATAATACACGCAAACCCACACATGAGTGTAGCTTTAGTTGGTATCAATCTCCTCCACCTTTTTTTGGTGGTAGAGTCATTCTTGCAATCTTTGTACAGAACATCTTATTAAACTGCTTTTCAAGAGTTCACCCTATCCAAATATATATCTAACTGGTATTTTACTGTTTCGTAATCACCAGAGGGGTATTTAGAGTTCTGAAAACAACAACAACAACAAAAACTGAAGCACGCTGATTTTAGGGAGGACTCGATCAGCCTTAAGGGTTTATCCTGTCCTCCTACTTAAGGCACTGAGAAGACCTCTATTTAATGATTCAAAAGTCAAGAATTACAGGCAGAAAATGCAAGTTTTTAAGCAGGGATAGTAAAAAGTAAAAATTCAGGCCCTTGTTTCTAGTTTTACAACATGAAAGATACTTGGAACTCCATAGCAACCATGATATGAACAACTCTAGCCAGAATTTCAAAGATGAGCTCATAGAGTTTTCTTAATGATGGAACAATACCAAAGTTATGCCAGCACTTTCAAAAATGAAAATATCATCCTGAAAAATGCAGTCTTCCAAAAGTTCATGTACAATGTGTATTATTATTTAAAAAAAAATGTGGGGGTGGAATTCAAAATTTTGGGACCAAAATAAATTTGTCTTTTAATTATATTTTCCATGCACTTTTTCTTAATTCTCCATTTTCTTATATCTTCATTTTCCTTGATCCTTGGAGTGGCCAGGCTCACTTTTTTTTTTTTTTTTTTTTTTTTGTATTTTCAACTTTTTGTTTTCCTAACGCCACCCACAAACAGTACTTCTACCCCCCACCTCGTGTTATGAGAAGTAACTGTCCAATTTTCCCAAAAGCTTGTATTTTCATAAATCTGCTAGAGCATCTAGTTAGCCCTTCTTCAGCTTATCTCTTTCAAGAAGAGGCAAGGTTCTGATGTCCATGCTTGGTTATCTGGGCCTGTCTAAGGTCTCCCAGCAGTCTACACTCTGTTGAGTCTAGCACAGCCATGCCCATGGATACTCCAAGCCAGTGACCAGGCAGAAACACTGAGGTTAATGTGTCTTATGCAATGACTCACAAGTGCTCCCTAGAGCGTTTGAAGTGGAAATTACACTGCAGTTCAGTGTAACGGCAAAAAAATTAGAGTTAGAAGAAGCTTTTATTTTTCTAGCCATCAGAAAAAAAGTATTGTGTAAAATAGCTTTCTTGTAAGTAACAGCATATTAACTATTTATTCTGTGATGAGCTGAATTTTTATACAATTCATTCATGGTTACATGATGTGTTATTACATACATTTATACACATATCCACACACTATATATACCACTCATATAATCAACTACAATGTGGATATCTATTGCCCATATTTGCAAATGTATTCACTTTCTATATTTGAGAATCAGTATGACATACATATTAACCACTAAATGCTAATTATGTGTATGCCTACAAAATAATACTCAAGATACACTCTGTTTGTATGATATCCATGTACACTCATTTGCCAAGGCTTCAGACTTATCCTTTAGGTTACATATTGTCTTGTTAAGCGCTTGCAATCAGTTACAAATGTCTTTTTGTCTGTCCCCAGGATACTATGGGGACGGTCTAAATGCCATCATTGTGTTTGCTGCCTGTTTTCTGCCAGACAGCAGTCGGGCGGATTACCACTATGTCATGGAAAATCTTTTCCTGTGAGTGATATTTATGACAAAGTGCTTTGAGTTCATGTCTGTGGCATGTACTGGCAGATAGAGCATCTTGAATTAAAGGAAATGGGTGACATAAAATATTCTAAACCTTTGATTAAAGAGTCAGTAAGATTTCTATCAGGGAACATGGCTCAAGAGGCTAAAGTCTTCCAAAAAGTTATTTTATCTTATTGCTAAGATTGAAAAAAAAAAAATGGAGTTTGACCTGCATTTTAAAAATCCTGTAACATTTCCTTGGGCTGAAGTGTAATTTTTCTTCTTCAGTAACATGTTCTTGAGCGTCTGATGATGGCCTGACTCCATTTCTGTCTGCCCTTGTTTGTGGAGTAACCTTTAAGTGTTTGATAACATTGTTAATATTTCTTCAAATCAGATTTCTAACCCACATGGTTTTCTAGTGCACTTGATTTAAGATAACCATGCAAGTGAATAAGCAATACTCAGTCAAAAAAAAAAAAAAAGACCTTGGGTAACTACACTTTTCTTCGAGGTAAAGAGGTCATGGGTACAAGTATCCTTCAATGTCACAGGAGCTACAGTTTAGATATTAAGTAATTACAGTGTAAACAGGATGAACAATTTCATGTGAGAACTGAAAGCTCTCCTCTTCCTGTGATCAGATATGTCATAAGTACTTTAGAGCTGATGGTGGCCGAAGACTACATGATCGTGTACTTGAACGGTGCCACCCCGAGACGGAAGATGCCAGGGTTAGGCTGGATGAAGAAATGCTACCAGATGATTGACAGGAGGTATGTGAGCTCCCTGATTTAACCACTACTTGACTCACTCAATATATAATTCCATTTTCGTCTATTATAAATCCAGTCATATTTTAGGAGTTTTGCATGTTAAAAATAATAAATTGTGGAAATAGTAATATAAGCATCACTTGATGCTTCAAAGTTTAAGTAAAGCACATTTGCCCCATATTTTGCTGAATATAATCTTAAACCTAGCAGACTAAAGCGCTTTTTTTTTTAAGTTTATTTATTTGTTGGGAAGCTACAGAGAATGGGGGAGCTTAAGGCTGGGCCAGGTCCAAGTCAGGAACCTGAACCAGCAGATGGAAGGACTTTGTCTCTCCTTCTTTCCATAAATCTGATCTGCCTTTCCAATAAAAATAGATAACCTTTAAAAGAAATAATGAAGCCAATCCTTATGAGAATGAAAAACATTAAATAAAAATATGACCTGGCACTTACAGATGCACACATTACAAGAATGCCACCTATTATTTTTTAAAGATTTATTTTATTTTTATTGGAAATGCAATTTACAGAGAGAATGACAGACAAAAAGCTCTTCTGTCTGTTGGTTTACTGTCCATGTGGCCGCAATGGCCAGAGCTGAGCTGATCCGAAGACAGCAGTCAGGAGCTTCTGCCAGGTCTCCCATGTGGGTGCAGGGTTCCAAGGCTTTGGGCCATCCTTCATTGCTTTCCTAGGCCACAAGGAGGGAGCTGGAAGGTAAGTGGAGCAGCTGGGACATGAACCAGTGCTCATATGGGATACCGGCACATGCAAGGTGAGGATTTAGCCACTGAGCCACCACGCCAGGTCCCTATCTTTTGATTTTATATTTATTCCTGTGGAAGAATAGGATTGAAATTGTATCTCAAAATCTTTCCAACAGACACCTGTAACTTACCCAGAACTCTCCCAAGTTACATAATTGTTATGTAGGGATTTACTTTCTGCTTTAATTGCCACTTAAGATGGACTAAGAGTAACATATTCATCTTTTTGTATTTCAAATAGATTAAGGAAGAATTTGAAATCATTCATTATTGTCCATCCATCCTGGTTCATCAGAACAATCCTTGCTGTGACCCGACCATTTATAAGGTATGGTGATCATGATAGTACAGGTGGTATTAGTAGTTTTTAAAAACATCTATTCATTGTTCTATAAATAAGAATTCTCAAACCAAGAAATACTGGTGTGCCTACCATCAAGATACACATGGCCGACATGAGAAGTTTGTCACAGTAGTTAAGAGATCTCTTGGGACTTTCTCATTCCGTGTTGGAGTGCATGGGTTGGAGTTCCACTTCTGCTCCCAAATCGAACTTTCTGCTAATGTGCACCCCAGGAGACAGCAGGGGTGTCACCTCTGTAATAGACCCAGGTTGAGTTCTGGGCTCCTGGCTTCCATCTGGTTGTGGTGAGCATCCAGGGAGCAAACCAGTGGATGGGCGAGATCTCTCTGTCTCATCTCTCTCTCCCCCTGTGTCTGTACCTTTCCAATAAATAATTGTTTCAAAAAGTTATTGATGGGGCCTGGTGTGCTGGCCTAGTGACTAAAGTACACTCACCTTGCATATGCCAGGATCCCATAAAGGCACTGGTTTGTGTCCTGGCCACCCTACCTCTCATCCAGCTCCCTGCTTGTGGTGTGGAAAAACAGCTGAAAATGGCCCAAAGCCTTGAGATCCTGCACTTGCGTTGGAGACCTGGAGTAAGTTCTTGGCTCCTGGCTTCGGATTGGCTCAGCTCTGGCCACTGTGGCCACTTGCGGAGTAAATCAGCAGGCAGAAGCTCTTCCTCTGTCTCTCCTCCATCTGACATTTCAATTAAAATAAATATAAATAAATCTTTTTAAAAGGCTATTGATGAATTTGTAAGAAAAAAATCTGATAACTTCCATAGGAAAAATGTGGACGTTAAAGCCCTTTACTATTTACACAGATCTTAATATCTTCCAGGTTTTACCTTTTGGAGTAATATTACGTTGTTGAAGCTTTCTCACTGCTACTTCCAATGATTGAATAGCAGCAGCCTGTTTACTCTGTCAGAGGTTAGCTGTTTACTATGCTACATTAAGTATTGTGGAGGTAGGCGTTTAGCCTAGAAGTTCAAATACAGGTTAAGATGCCCGTGTCAGTATCAAAGCGCCTGGCTCCAGCTCCTGACTCCGTGTGACAACAGCCCCTGGGAGGCTGCGGTCCTGGTACAAACATGTGAGCTCCTTGGGCACACGGGAGATCTGAACTGAGGTCTTAGCTCCTCACCATTGCTGGCCTTTGAAGGGTAACTCAGAACAAGGGAGCTCTCTGCTTTGCTTATCAGCTGGTCCTGGTTCCCACCCACTCCTCCATTTTTTTTTTTTAAATTCCTCCTCTCTTAGGAACACCCCGAGACCTCCAACTATTAAAAACAAACAAACAAACAAACCCAGCCTGCTGAAAGACTGGGCCTCTGCCACAGGATCACTCCATCTATGTTCAAGCAGAGGGCTACCTTCCTTGAATTTATCACTAATAAATTCACTCTGGCTGTGTGTTCTCAACAATCTCCTTGTTGCTTCACTCTCTTTCTGAGCCTCTTTTCCATCACGTGGTACCCCATTTTCTGTGCCACTTTCCTAACATTCTGATAAAATTTCTTCCTAGTAAGAAATTTTGGGGACATGGCGCTAAGAATATCAGGATTTTCATGAGGCAATGGTTTTACATGGGATGACATAACACCTGATGTTTTTCTTCTTCTTTTTTTCTAGTTCAAAATTCAGCAGTAAAATTAAATATGTGAGCAGCTTATCAGAACTCAGTGCCCTGATCCCCATGGATTGCATCCACATTCCGGAAAGCATCATCAAGTACGTTTGACGGCTTTGGAGACGGGGGAGAGGCAGTGCATGTTGGAAATAGGGGGTTGGAGAAGAACTCACTTCTGGAATAGTGAGGAAAGAACGTCTTTTTAACAGAAGTACTAAATATTTTTCAGTAAATGTAGTCTCTTTTTTCCCCCTATAGCCTGTAGATATCTGCTCTGTCAGAGCCTCTCAGACAGGCTTCTAGGAACCACTGGCTATTGCCCAATTTGAGTTCTGTATCCACTTTGGAGAGGCATAAATTTAACTTTGTGTCCCCTACTTGGCACTGACACGGGAAGGTTCAGCATCACTAGAATGTCCTTATTATCTTATATAAAGAAATTCATCTGCAAGACTCCATGAAGAAAGACCAAGAATACTTTGGGTTTTTTTTGTAAACCCTTTAGATGCAATATCAGTGGTTATTTGCATAGTGATGGGTGAGATGATTAGAAATGGATTCCTTGCTCATTGCAACCTCAGATTGTAAGGGGAAAGCATATATACACTGAGGGTTTCAGCATGACTCCGCCAGAATAAGATCAACTGAGCAAGTACTTAGAGCTGGGCTTTAGCAACAGAAACACTGGTATGTTGTTGCAAAGGACTATTGTTTTCTGCCTGTTGTGTTTTCTCCTCTACTGTGTCCCATTCACTAGCTTCTGATTTGATTATTTTATGGGACTTGGATATCACCTTAAAGGCAAGTGTGGCTAATTCCCCACAAGCTGGATGGCAATGAATCTCCCAAACCGGAATGCCACATAAAAATTGCCCAACTTAAAAAACATTTAAGAGTCACAGAAAGTCAAAGTAAAGGATTCTTATTTAATGTGCCAATGATGACCTGGGCAGAGAGATGCTCTATGTGTGTCACTTACATAGCCCTCCATCCTAAACCCGCGCTTGACAGATGCGGGAAAGATAACTTTGTAAGCATTTACTTTGCAAAGTGCAAGTAGTCACTAAAAGAGATGAAGCCAGAATTCAGAGTCAGCTCAATCAGCACTGAGACGGCCACATCTGTTAGCTCAAGGCTGCACAAAGCAGATGCATCTGGACATCCTGTATGCCGACATGTGGCATGAACACAGGAGGCTGACTGGACACACGGTGACCATTGGTTCCACCCAGTCCACACACTCCATGAGATCCTAAGCATGCTATCAACTAGAATAGCTCATTAGTTTTATAGGGTCTCCATCCTAGCACATCTCACAGCTCTGGTCTGCTGCCTCCAAAAGGTGTGCTCTATCTCCAAATTCCACCTCTATCAGACACATCCTATGCTGTCTCCTTCTGTGAGAGATGACAAAGACATTCTCTGTTTCAGTAGAGTTGAGCATTGGCCGCTTCCTTGGTAAATACGATGTGGCGGTTAGAGGCAGTAGAATGCATAAAGATCAGTTTCGGTGTTGCCTTCCACCTCTCAATGTCTCCGAGACTCAAGCCACCTGTTGAAACTCTGGGTCTCAGCTTCAGTCTCTATAAAATGGGGGCATGAATCACACCTCATGGAACGATCTGGAGGACAAAATGTGAATGATGTCCACAAAGCATCCGGAAGCTTCTAGCATAGAAGTGCTATAGTCATTGCTTAGAGGCTCACCTATCCAGAGCTTTGTGGAGAAGCTGAACAAGCCCAGCTCACCTCTCCTGCATCTGCACATGCCATTTTTCAGGGATTCTATTTGGGAAAATTCACTATGGGATGAAGTGTGTCATTTGGGAAAAAAAAAAATGTTCTTCTGGAGAAAGAAATTTAGAACTGTGGATGTATTCCCCCTGCTCCGCTTGTGTGTGTGTGTGTGTGTGTGTGTGTGTGTGTGTGTGTGTGTATTTCTTCTGTCTTTCCTAATCCATCTCCCCAGGACATCTCCTTTCTATCACTGGCTTGCATTGCCTTGATTTCATATCAAGTACTTTTTAAAATTATATAAGCCATGATTCCTTTTTTTAATTACTCACTAACAAAGTATCTGGTCTTGGCCTTACCCAAATCAGTCTGAAGCTCGTCACCAAAGGGCCGAAATGAAACGAAAATTTTCCCAACCGGGATTCGGGTTTATAGTCACTGATTACAGTTGGTTCTCATTGTTTGTGGCAGTTACATTTTATAAAGCAAACATTTTTTTTTAAACTCAATGTATTTATTAATGTGAGGTATAATAGAGGGGAAAGGGAAGGCAACAGGAGGATTGAGGTTGGGGGGTGGCTTTGGCTCAGGTGAGCCTAGAAGGTCCAGGAGCTCTGGCTCTGCCACGGTCCAATCAACTCCTGCCACAGGAATTTCACCCTTGGCTCTGGCCAGAGGGCTGGATCCAAAAACAGGCACCCAGGATGCGCACCCAGCTGGGGAGTCAATGTTATGGATGGCCCTGGCTGTGGTTTCTCTGGCGCAGGCTCAGGCAACTCCAGGGCAAGCGTGTTGTCTAGACTCCAGGAGGTTCTGCCTGGGTCTTGGCCCCTGGACATTCTGGGGGCTCTAGAGCTGGTTTTGGGGTCTGTGGCTGGAGAGCAGCTGCAGGAGTTGGCATAAAATCATTGGTAAGACTTGAAGCAGTAAGAGAAGAGGCACCTGGTGGTCACACGTCCATCATCTGGTCAGTGTGTTTGATGTGTGTTTCTGTTCAAGGGCACCTTGCTGAGAATTTACTGTGGATTCATTAACGTTGATCTCACAGCCAGCTGCACTGTAAATGTCCCTCAAATGAATTAATCTAACATGGGTTTTCTCTGTAAGGTACAACACGATCTTCTTGTACCCTAGGAACACCCTTCAATACCATGCTTACGGTCATTTTAAGTAGCAGAATCACCAAGAAAACACACAACAGTAAAACAACAACAACAAAAAAATACTACCTAGGCTGACAAAAGTTTTATTTACTTGAAAGGAAGAGTCAGAGAGAGAGAGAGATTCTTCTGTCCGCTGGTTTACTCCACAAATGGCCACAACAACCATGACAAGGCCGGGCCAAAGCCAGAAGCCTGGAGTTTCATTTGGGTCTCCTACATGAATGCAAGGGCCCAAATACTTGGGCTATCTCCCACTGTTTGCCTAGGTGCATCAACAGGGAACTGGGTCAAAAGTGGAAGAATCAAACTGGTGCCCATATGGGATGTCGGCTCTACAGTCTGTGAGTTAACTCACTGTGCCTCAGTGTTGGCACCTGACTCATTTACAGCTGGAGCCTCATTTTGTTTGGCCTCAGTTGCCAATATATCCACTGGGCAACTCTGATTTCTCTTTTCACCACCCTGCACATATCCACAAGTGACTCACAAAAGTTCCATGTGTTGATTTCAGTAAACAGGCAATGTGTAGTTCACTCCCATTGTTAATAATGCAATATACCACAGACTGGATAAGTTCTGACTTAAAGTGCGGGTCCAAAGAGAGACAGGGAACAGGTTCATCACTGTGCTTGTCTCTCTGCCTCTCACAAAGCCACTGACAGTCAAGAGGGATCTGGCATCATGGTCATACATACCCATTATCATTGCCCAAAGGCTCACCTTTAAACAGCCTAATTGGCCTGTAATGGCAAATTAATTTCAACACAACTTCTTAGGAAGGCAGAAATAACATGCGAACCAAAGCGGGAAAATTTGCAAATACAGAATCTACAAATAATGAGGACTGACTGTATCTATATATAAATCATAAATTCGGATCATTACTTAATGAAAGCAAGACTTCTTTCAAAAGCCAAGGTAACTGTTCAGAGAGGTCTTGTCTCTCAACTTTGGACCATTGTGTAAAACATTTATCTGTCGTTTTTCCCGACTGCTTGTTCATTTTCCTCATGGCGTTCGTCTTTTATCTCATAAGGTACGATGAAGAGAGATCATTTAAGAGAAGTGTGAGGTAAAACCCGGACTGCAGTTCGTGCTGGCCCCTCTGTGTGTGTCCACCTGTCTTTCACTTGTGGGTGACCTCAACATGCTATCAGAACGAGAGGTTCTTGTGTCAGTCCCTTGTATGCCATTCCTGGTCTCTGTCCCATGTGTGAAGCTGTTGAGATCAACCTACTTTGCAACTGACCCCACTAAGCCAGATTCAACCCTGACTTGGCTGAGGCTGCAAGCTAACTTGAACATAGCCGACAGATGAATGTCATGTTTTCAGTTTTGTTCAGCCAGCATGTTCCTGACCTCCTTGTCACTTGTGTACTTGCCTTTATGAAAGGATTTACAAAGTAGACATACACGAACTCTGGGAAGAAATGACACTGTATGGAGTGAGTCTCGATTCTGCCAAGGACTGTTTCTAACAGCATACCACAGCATTTGTGTTTGGCTCTGCTTTGCTGAGTGACTCTCACGCTCTGCTTGCTTCTTTTTGTTTCTTTTCTACACCGATCATTTTTGCTCATGCAGACTGGACGAAGAACTGAGGGATGCATCAGAAGCAGCTAAGTAAGACCTGATTTTCATGTAGCAGCTGGCGTGATGTTGGCTTGCATTCAGGAATGAGCTGAGACAACCTGCATGCCTGGTGTCTTACTCTTGCATCTTCATAGTAATGTTTCTTTAAAGATAACCATTTTGCTGGACAATAATCTATAGATTCATGTCTGTTCCTGAAAAGTAGTAAAACCCCCCGGTCCCCGTTGACGCTACCCTTGTTAATCCTGCTAGATCTTTTTCCCTTTAATCTCGGGTGTCTTGGGGGAATGCCTTTGTCACTGTTTACTGTTTTTAATCTACCTGCAGTTCTAGGCATCACAGTATAAGCACATCTCAGGTTTTGCTAAACTGAATGTAACATTAGACCACGGAAGCCACAGAGCCTCCCTAATTCATACTAACAGGCAGAATGGATAGCAAGGCAACATTTATGAAGATTTTTATAGAATTGCTTTCATGGCATTCCAACATTTAAAAAACAACTCCTAATCTGGTGACTTGGAAACCTCACTGAACTAAGCTAATTGATGACTAGGAATTTCTGCAAAAAACAGAAATTCTGGATGATGTCCAAACATCTATAAATCTAA